CATAGGAGTTTTAAACACAGTTTAATTCGACGCCATGATGGTTATTACCATCCTAGTTGATTTTCATATCACAGCTATCATTTTTGAGTAATAGCTTAGGACGAACCTTGAAGTCCTGTTCTGTGTATTTTTTCATGTTCGTCACTTAAAGACATATGACAAGGAATCTCATACGAAATAAGCGTATTCACGCATATATGTATGCTAAATACAGCGTTGATTGTAAACATGCCGGCGCCTGTCTCAGGCTTCGCTCTATAAAGTATTATGATTTGGCGACCTTCGCCACCAGTGAATCAACAAGAGCATTCCATGAGTGGCCTTTATGGTTTTTCATTCGTTCTCCAGCTACCCGCGGCTGCTTAGAAAAACCTTCTCTTCTTTTCCCACCGCAACACCAGGTTTTCAGGGTGGTTCTTCAGTTCATTCAGGACACTGGACAGTTGTTTGTAGAAGGCGGTCACCGCGTCCTCAGCTATAGACGTCACTTTTTTTTTCTTACCCATCTTTAATTCTCCTCTCCTACCCCTGCAGACGCTGAGACGTGCTTCCACTTAGGGCTGCGGAAATATCGTCTTTTTCACTCCTTATGCTCCTCCTCCAATCGTTCGCAGCTTGTAAGCTTTGTCTTTGTTGAACCTTATAGTGTTTGGAACAATCACTATTGCCTTTTTACATGAATAACGGCTTCACACCACGCTCAAAAACAAAATTTGGGCTTGGATAGCGCTCATTTGGAAAATAGGCATTTATAGGCACGTATATGAAATTAGTCACGACAACCAACCACAACCAAAATAGGCATTTATAGGCACTATAAGAACATCATAAAAGCTCTTTTTAATCTCTAATTCATGCCCATATATCAAAATGGCACGATATAAACGCAAGGAACCAAATAGGCCTTTGGTATGAACATTTTGGCTTAGATTTATGTGGTGAAAGTGCCGAGAACAAACGCGGAAAGGTACCGGAAGTGCGGAGAGGTACCGGACGCGAGCTCTCATTTTCTGTGTGAGATCAAAACTTTTTGTCCTGACGGTAGACCTGACGGTAGACCTGACGGTAGTGCTTTACAATGTTGTGTTTAATAGTAAGTTTTCTGTTTTTTCCAATGCAATGCTTGGTCTCACCTTCTGAATCGCGTCAAATTTTCTTTTGAGGTCCATCATGGTGAAGACAGGTTTATACCCCAATCAAGAACAAATTATGGCATGCAAATGGTTCACTACAGCATGCCGGATTTGAAACCTCAACTATAATATAACATGTCTCAACTTGTTTCGCTCGTCGGCTCACTCTCCTGGGTTATTTTTGTTGGATATTTTACAGCTACCTTTTAGTGTGCCTTGACATGCTCTCAAATTACGTTGTTGGATATGTGACGATCTTTTCACCTATACATATATTTATGCACTGTATATTATATGAACCGAAGAGCTCGTTCTGCAGAAATTCCAGCGTCGGCATCTTATCGGGTGTGAGCGGAAAACGCACAATCTGCAGAAATTCCAGCGTCGGCATCTTATCGGGTATGAGCGAAAAAGCACAATCTTGCCGTGACCGACAATCAAGAAGCTACCAATAAAATGAATAATAAAAACTTCAGTATGAGTTAGAATCGAACCCAGGCTGTCTGCGGGGCAACCATGTCTTCTACCACAGAGGCACGCCAACGGTCGAAACTGATTTGGAAAGAAATATGAATGCCATGTAGTAGAAGTCTTCGTTAATATTGTGTCCTACCAAGCAAACGAGCCCTCATGTTTACCACTTCTTTCTTTCATTGTAGTAGAAGGAATCTCAACGCACGCAATATTACGTTAGAAGCGTATAATTGCGCCAGCGTCGATCAAGACACGTGAAATGCGCGACATGTTCACGTGTTGTCTTACGCACTCGTGGTGGGCCCTTCGACGATTCACAAAAGGAACAATTATGGCGTATTTGCAGTAGAAGGTCTACGACAGTTTCAAATGGCCAGGGCTGCACGCACAGTCATTCGTTCTCTTACGGCACGGTCAATATAAAAGGTTGGGCACGGTTGAGGGGCACGCACCGAGGCTGAAGCTGGACTAGAAAAGAGAAGCTGATTTGCGCAAGGCCGATAACGCTATCACTATCTACTCTTGAAGGCGAAGCTCAAGCGTCCAGAAAGTTTTATATTTGTTTATGCTTGTAACTTGCGTAATTGTTCTTACACAATAGAGAGCTTTAGAATACCGTTTGCAAGCGCGGCGGGCGTTGCGGGCGAAGCGGGTGCCATAAGAGGTTTAGAATAGCGCTGCCCTGCTGCGAACCGCAACGCACGATCGCAGCGACACCGCAGCCTCGAAACCAGCGCTTGCGGGCCACACGTGGGCCGCCATCACCACACGCAATTTCGGATTATCTGCGTGTGGTCCGCGAACGCCGACCTCACGTTACGACGCATGCGCAGTGGCAGCGACCGCACCGCAAGGGCTCGCGGTGCGCTATTCTAAAACTCCCTAATATGTTGTCACGGGGACGTGACGTCGATGAAAGGAGCAGGCTGTAGTTCGAAGATAAACTGTTTATTCGGTGAACTTGTGGCCGATCAACAAAAAAGCCTTCAACTGAGCGTCGTCGTCGATTGACTGACAAGCGGCGAAGCCTTCGGCATTTATACATGTACCGCGTCGAGTATTCCAGTGTTATCGCTGGCGGCCACGTAAGTTCCCGAATAATCTTTAATGTTCGCGTTGCGCGCGTAATCTTAACAAAGTGATCTACTGCAGTCCCGAAGCTTCTCGAAGATTGAAGGCGCGGTTTGCGCTGAACATTACTCAGAGTGTAACGGGGCGATAACAAAATTTCAGGAAGGAATGTGACATTGCCCCCTCTGAAAAAGGCATCATGTCCAATGTTTTAACAATGATAAAAGTATAATGAATAGTAAATAAAAGAATAAATAATGGGAAGCCAGCGATGCCTGGTGGCGCGTATAAAATTTACGCGGGGCACCTAAATTTAGACTTGATGTATATGCGACTTTTGCTACCTAAAGGTAGCATATACAGTAACTCTACCTAAATTTAGAGTAACTGTACATCATCTTTACGGGACCAGAGTAGCGCAACTATTTTCCAATGCCGCCGGTGCCGCTCGCAACTATGCATTGTGGAGAAGATGGCACTCAGGCCAATTTGTGTTTCCGACGCCGCCGCTGCATTGGCGCGAATCTTCGCCAGTCAAGTTCAATGCTAATTAGGCTGGTCTTCACGCCTTTTCTGAACGCGGTTCACGGATCGTCTTTTATGAACGTGGTTCATCAATTGTAGGTGACTAATTCATGAGCAATGTTTTCTTGGACTGCATAACTACATACATGGAACTTATTCTAGTTGTTAGAGTTCCCACTGCAAAAGAGTAGAACTTGATAAAGCTTGCTGCATCTAATTATTTCTGTATATTGCCATGTTTGTATTACTGCCAAAAAGATGTTTGACCAGTTTGACCAGTCGCTGAGTGTTCCTTTGTTTTAGTGTACAGTCTGTTTCAGACTTAGGGGAAATCTCGGATCGCATAACACGTAGTGCGGCCAACACTGTACCCGTGTGCCGCTATAGCAGATGACATTGTTCAACACTATGGCCCTCCAAGTGTCTGCGCATACGCGAGCTATAGCTGGCACTTGACTGAAGCGTTGGCCGCACCACGATTGATGTATTGCAAGATTTCCCCTTAGTTTGAAACACACTGCACAAGCTAGAAGACACGAGAACGGCATTGTTTTTTTTTTGTTGCGCACTCATATCTGTTTATACAGAGCCCGATTACGTATCTTCATGCAAATAAAATATATTTATTCACCACTAACGTGGAAAAAAGGGCGTGGTTGTTTAAGTCGCTGAATTTTACAGCGAAACTTATGACGATCACAAGGGCCGATTCCGGTGCCGTAAATGTTCGCCGCCACCGGTGTCCCATGACCACCATTGCCGAAATTATACAAAGAAAAATCCACGTGAGAAAACATACCAATCTTGCTTCGGTGCCGACCCCAGGGCTCTCTTACTTGGGTATCGAACCCGGGGCTTTTGCGTGGCAATATATTACTACGCCGCAAAGCTACACCGAAACTTGAAGCAGTGCTCTAAACAGATTTCATGTAGGCTGCATATTCAGTAAGGATTTGCGTTAACATGTGTATTAAAGCGTTTTAGAATAGTGAAATCACACCATGCGTTACACGACACGAATTGTGCGAACAGTACGTCGTTGTGCTCTTACGCATTCGAAAAGCCTGATGCATAATTATTTATTGCGTTATATTCAACCAGAGTAATGTGAATACTGAATGTCCCCGCTCGTTATTCGGTCGAAATTCTGAAAATGCCCGATATGTGAATTTCGCAAGACAAAAGAAGTTGATAATTTTCGCTATGCACTTTTTCGCCTCACGCTGAGCAAGAACATCTTTTTTCTATTTTCACCGCACATTTAGTCACCTCATACGTTGCACTCTGTTGGCAATCGGGTAGGGAAAGCGGCCTTCAAGCACTGCAAAGAGAGCGTGAAGGACGCAAGCCAGTATGTTGATATGCAACACGGCAGGCATGTCACCTGCAAAAACAGAGGGTCACTTCGCCACATAACTGTGACAACGCCTCCTAGAAAATGTATGCCTGGAACATCACTCTCTTTTCAATTGGGAGCTTCCTGCCAGCACGCAATCTCGGAGGCCATGCCTCCTGCCACTAATTGTTGCGACCGTCCACCGCACGTTAACGCTTGCCTCCGTACCGCTCTCTCACGTGACATCACAGTTGCTCGGAAGCTCTATGTGTGAGAGCCTTCCTCTATGTGTGAGAGCACTGCTGTGTTCGTAGGGGGCGGCCGCCAGAGGTGTTCGCCTTCGTACCGGAGGAGGAGGGTAAAATCATAAGGTAGGGCAGTACGTTCGCAGCTCACGTTTCAGGCGTAATTTTTTCAGGAGGCATTGACTGTGATTGCCAGCCAGGCAAGATGGCGGACCTATGAGCTACTCTGGTCCTGTAGGGACCATATACAGTTACTCGATGTGCTGCCCTGGCGAGCTGGCTGAGAACCAGCTGATAGGACAGAGCCTCCACGAGGTGTGCTACTGGCACGTTTTAACGTGCCGTCGTACACGTCACGCGCGATGAAAGGCATGATGAACTTCATGCGACAGTACCCGGCTTTGCCCGATGTGATGCATCATGTTGTAGGTACTTTGGAACATGCAAGACCAGCGAAGATTTGGACACTTCGCTGAAAACTGTGACGCAGTGGGCGAGTAGCTATGCCAGTGATTATTCTCGGCTACGATTTCAGCGACTCGGTGTGTGCAGTCGGATACCTTCGCGAGACTGTGTTGTCGAAAGGAAGGACGCTGTCCGATATAAAGTACGTCTATGACGCGGAAGAAACAGTGTGACCTTTCAACGCAGTGCTCATTGTGCGGCTTTAAGTTAAGGTATGTTCAAACAGCGCTTGCGAAGCTCGACGTAGTGTGCAGGTTGCTCATTACTCGACCGCTTTGAAGTAAAGTTAGTAGTTTCTCAGGCAACAGTGAGGTAGCATTCGGCAGCTGTTGAGAGCGAGAGCATATCATTTACGTAGGTGGTAGTCGCAGCCCACCTGTTTCGCTTCGCACTTCCTGTTACTGTGTGTTCAACGGCTAGCGTGAACCCACTAAATGCTCGTATCGCAGTCTTTAAAATAAGTTTTTGAAGCTGACGGTAAATTGTAAAGTGAATGTCTAAGGCAACCATCACATTAAAGGGCAGTGTCAAGGTCAAACCCTATAACCGCGAAAATGGTCGTGACAGTGACGAGCGACGCGACGTAGATTGCTTTCGCGCGAACAGTTGCTAGCGCAGGCAAACCTCATTCACATGATGGCTTCGGCGAGCGAACTCCACTGTTGGTGGCGTGAGGCCGTCTACTCATACTGAAAATTCCGCGTATTTGGCAATATGCGATGTAAAAATAGCATGTGTTGTTGTATAATGGAATGAAAGGGATTTATTTTTGCCTTGCAGAACTTCTGTAACATGAACGTGCGTAAACATTAGGTTATTTCTTCGGTGTGTACTCTTGACTCGTGTACCGAAGGAGCATAAGAGGAGGTGGTGGTTGTTGTACATGCTGCCATCTAGGACAAGCCAGGCGAAGCTGGTGGCCGCGTGTGCTCGAGGTGCACGTGGCGCGTGGCAAGGGCTTCTAGGCTAGAACGCAGTTTTGGAATAAACCTGGGTCCACGTAACCCTGCCTCCTGCCTTCTCACTCGTCCCTGACGACTTCAACATGGGGTCAGAAAAACAGGTGCTACCAGTGTACATCGGCTTCAAGTCATCATCTTGCGAAGGACGCCGCAAGCAAAAAAGGAGTGATCATGGCGTCATTCGTTATTCAACCGCCGGACTCCTTCAATATTTCGTCGTCGAACGAGTGGCCGAAGTGGAAACAGCGTCTTCAACGTTTCCGAACCTCTTCAAGCTTATGCGTGAAGCCCGAGCAACATCAAGTAGACGCCCTACTTTACATCATGGGTGAGCAAGGCGAGAAAATCTACGCCACCTTCGCTTTATCCGATGAGAACTCCAAAAAGTGCCGCCATATCCACGAAGTGAATGATGATGAGTGGGCGAAGCTCCGGAGGTAAACCTGGTAAACCATGAATCCTCTGTACATTTTGCCCACTCGATTTTATTACATCGCTCCCCCTAGCGTACGTCGCCGCACTAAATCGAACGATTGCCTTCAACCAATGACACGCGCAATATGTGACATCATTCCTATTTTATAAGATCTCGCGTCTTTCATCAACTACAAGTACCGCTTTCTAGTTTATAACATCTTGCATCTTTTCATCATCAGCTACAAGTACCACCATCTAGTAAACACTACAAGAACTAAACGAGAGGTGGCTACATACAGGAGACGGTACCGCCATCTAGTGAACACTGCAAGAACTAAACTAGAGGTGGCTACATACAGGGGACGGTACCGCCATCTAGTGAACACTGCAAGAACTAAACTAGAGGTAGCTACATACAGGGGACGCACAGCCCACGCCCTAAGGAACTTCGCCCCTAAAAATTTAATGGTGTCGTGGAGCAGCTCGACAAGTATTTCCTTCCGCGACGCAACGCAATCTTCGAACGAGCCAGATTCAACACCAGGCTGCAACAAGATGGTGAGTCGGCCGAAGATTTCGTCACTACGCTTCACACGCTTTCGAAATATTGCGAGTTAGGTGCTCTTCGAATGGAGTTCGTGTGCGACCGCCTCGTAGTTGGTATAAAAGACAAACAGCTATCCACCAGGTTACAGCTCGATGCAGAGCTCACACTACAAAAGGCTCTAGATTCCGTTCGCCAGATCGAAAGTGTCCGTCAGCAACAAGCGGAGCTCCACAGGAAGTGCCATCTTTGAACAAAGTTGCATCCGGTGCGCAGACCAGGGGACGCCCTATCGCAAAAACCAGAGGCACTACTGGACCAGTGTCCAGTGTGGCGCTGACACCAGGACAGTGACACGCTGCACGAGGCACGCTGGCGCTGCACACTGGGACACCGATTATCGGCCAAAATCTGGCTTTTAAATTGTGTTTAGAATTTGTGGTCATGCGCACATCATAATTAAGGCTGAAACACTCACGCAGTGAAAAAAGAAAAAGAGAAAAAATCTGAGTGACTCGAAGTCGAACCTACAATCTAACACATCACGTATTCGGAGCGGACACGCTAACCACTCCCCACCTTCAGTTGCAGTTTCAGTTTCAGTTTATTTAGCAGTCTTTTTCAGCAATGATGTTAAAGTACAGTGATTTAATGTTTTCATACAATGGCAATGGTCCAACACGAGAATGGCTTTATTGTTCTTCGTCTTAAAAGTAATTCCAATATTTAAATTTGTCATTACATACGCAGTGTTCGTCTCTTCGTGCTCCCGCCAAACTTGCGATTGTTGGCTCATTCGTTTCGGGTTGCTTTGGATCACATCCATCTGGCATGTTTTGCCGCAAAGCTTATTAGCGTAGCTGCAGATGTGTTACGGCAATCGTAGTGACTCGCTATGTGGTTAGTCATGCCTATGTATAAAACGACGTTCATCTGAACTGTTCACTGAGCACTGTAGATTTCGCCCCTCGGTAGTTTGGAAGTATTTTCTGTCCTCTTCGTTTACGTTCCGCGAACGACAGCCGCAGCAGTTCACTCTAGCAGAAACGACCACTATAGGCTTAGGGCCGTACTTCTTGTGCTACAGTTACTGTGAAGATCGTAAATATTCAGTTAGAAAGGGTCTAATATTCGTTACAATGTAGTTTTGATCATAACTGACCCATGAATGGTCATATTTTAACCTTCAATTACACAAATCAGAAGCTAAAAACACCAAGACCGGGCATTGCAGTGGTTAACTGCTGCCGGGGACAAGTGGCTTTCTACGGTACGAGCCGCAATGACTCACTGCTAAAGTAGGTTGGTCTTGATTATCAGACTGATACTACTGTCGTTTTATGTTGCGAATTTTCAGTTATATCGATGCCGTTTATGAAATATATAGATGAAACTCAATCAAACCTCAAGGAAAGCGCACCCGTGCCAAGGGGGCATCCATGGGTGGGCTGGAACATTTTATTCCCGAAATTCTAGCATGCCCCTTTGCCGCCCCCCCACCTCAGGAGCAAGCATAGGTAAAACACGACGCATAAGTTCTGGCTCCCTGCCCCCATGCAGGAACAAAGTTGTCATTTGCCCCCCCTCCCATTAGAAAAATCCTGACAGCGCCTCTGTACCGCGCGATCAACATATGAATGCCTCGCATTCATTGCCTAAGCAAACTGAGATGTTTGTAGCACATAGATGGGAATACCATCATATCGATAAATTTTACGCTCGACATGTCGCGTTTCAATATGAAGTCTTACGGAAAGTGCACCGATCGCGCCTAGTTCTGCCATTGTGCCGCTAAGATTATCAGTGTGCGGTAGAGACTGTGCAGCGTGATTAGTGCCTCCCAGCGCGCTTTAAGACACTGGGCTGCGCTGTACAGTGTGGCGCAGTGTGTTTCAGCGCATGGTCGACACTGGCCACGCTGTACAGTGTGTCCCAGTGCCTCGCAGTGCACTGTAGTACACTGGCACACACTATACAGCGTTTCCAGCGTCACCCAGCACGCTGAAACACACTGGAGGATACTGGAAACGCTGTTTTTTTTCGATAGGGCATGCTTCAATGCAAGACAAAAGCGGCAGTTATCTACACGGGGCAAGCTAGTCATCTTCACCCCCCGGTAAAAACAGAGAGCAGAATTCATGCCGTTGGTGTGGTCAAGAGCGTCACTCTCGCACTGTCTGCCCAGCACGCTCGGAAGTCTGCAGGAATTGCCGGAAGAAAGGTTACTATGCCTCTGTATTGTTATGACCGTCGTCAGTAGGCGCCGTGCTGTCGCTGAGAAACGTAGCCGGGCAGCGCTCCCACGCCTGGAAACCCCAGTTTTCTCGTAACCAGCGTCCAGCGGCGGGGAGCGACAAAGGGATTAGAAGACGGTCCATGAGCCAATGTCCCTAGAAGCAATTCCCCCGGGCCGGCTTGTTTACGAGACGGGGAAGCAGACCGACCACACAGGTCGTGTCTCCACGATTCAAGTGTCTACTCCATGGCTGCCCTTCCAGGGAAAGGCAGAAGAAGCAACCCAACCACCAAATTGTTCCGGGAGAGAACCCCATTTCCCCTCTTCTTAGAGCATTGCGTCAAGAGGTACAATAACTATTCGGCGGACCGTGCGTTACTGACCGATGCCCTGTGGTGGTGTTTTGTGTGTGTGTGATTGGTGTTCCACTCAAGGAGGAGGAGCCCGACAGGGCTTAAAACGACGCCACAGAGTGCTGGACGCCGCTCTGAACCATGTAACGGTTCAACCACCATGCTCGTGGTTTGGGAAACTCTCAACCTCTCTGTGCTGTAAATAAGTGTAAATAGTGTCATAAACCTGTTTGTTTTTCGTATCCCCATCTTGTCAGCGTTCGTTTCCTCCACCTGAAGTTGCGCCACGCTACCACAAGAGATCGGGTAGACCCCGATTCTCAACAGTATGCATGTCGCGACGCCATAATTGTGTCGAAACCGAGCATGAAACTTTAGAAGCAAGATTTTTTGAAGCAATCAAGGCGACGGATGCTGGAAACTGGGAAGCAGTATTTTTGGTTCAAGGCCATCCAGTAGACTTAAAAATTGACACTGGTGCCGACGAAACCGTCCTCCCGACACACGTATTCCAGACGCTCAAGAACAGGCTGCTTCTATCAGCTCCTCCTCGTCGGCTGCATGGCCCAGGTGGAAAGCTTCTTCCAGCAGCAGGAGTGGCACAACTCCAGCTCATCTATTGAAACCATGTAACTACTCAGGATATATACGTCCTAGATCAGATCTGCACTCCGTTGCTAAGCAAGCCAGTAATCAAAAAGCCACAGATGCTGACCTTCGTAAACGCCGTTGCCGACAAAGTGAACCCGAAAGAAGAATTTCCAGCGGTGTTCAAAGGACCCGGCAAGCTGCTCACAGAACGCAGGATTCAGCTTCAACCAGGAGCAAAAGCTTTCGCACTCAGCTCCCCGAGGTGCATCCCAATTTCATTGTACGAGAAGACAAAGTTGGAACTTCAAAGGATGCAGAAACTCGGTGTCGTATCACCTGTTGATGAGCCGACCAAGTGGTGTGCACCAATGGTAGTCGTTCCAAAGTCCTCCGGAGACGTGAGAATATGCATCGACTTTACAGAGCTGAACCACCACGTTCTCAGAGAATGGCATTCTATTCCTTCCGTGGAGAACACTCTCGGACTTCTTCATGGAGCTAAGGTGTTCTCCAAACTCGATGCCGACTCTGGATTTTGGCAAATTCCACTTTGTGAAGAATCAAGGAAACTCACTACCTTTATCTCTCCGTTTGGGCGCTTCTACTTCAACTGACTACCATTCGTCATTGCATCAGCTCCCGAACACTTCCACAAGCAGATGGCGTACATATTACAAGGCATCAGTCGAGTTGTCTGTCACATGGACGACATCCTCATCTGGGGTTACAACAGCCAAAAGAGCGCAGTAAGACACTCCGAAACGTGCTGTAGGCACTTCCAAAGGCTGGAGTGGCACTGAACGACAGCAAGGGCTGGTTTGATGTTCAGCGCCTTACATTCCTAGGACACTGGCTCGATGAGGACGGGATAAGACCCGACGGAAAAAGGTTGAAGCCATAATGAAAATGGAGAGTCCCAAAAACAAGACTGAGGTGCAGAGAGTTCTCGGAATGGTAACACACCTCGCGGGATTCGTTCTCAATCTCTTTGATATTTTGCAGCCACTCACGCTCCTGTTGTCGAAAAACCAAGAATTCGTTTGGGGTTCTCCACAGGAGCAGGCATTCAATCGGTGGAAGTTGGTGCTCTCATCTCGTCCTGTGCTTAAAGTCTATGACCCATCAAAAGAAACAGTCGTCACCACCAACGCATCATCATTCGGACTGGGAGCATTAATCTGGCAGAAGCAAACCAATGGCAAGTTTTCTGTCATCGCTTACGCCTCGAGGTTGCTCTTAGAAACCGAGAAGCGCTACGCTCAGATTGAAAAAGAGGCTCTTGCTTTAGTCTGGGCATGCGATAAATTTAGTGATTACCTTGTTGGCAAGCTGTTCAAGCTAGAGACGGATCACAAGCCGTTGGTTCCAATCTTTCCTTCGAATAGTCTTGACGACTTGACGCCTAGATTACAGCCGCTAAAGATGAGAATGATGCGATATCGATAATAGGTGGTATACGTACCAGGCAAGGAACTTCTAGCCGCAGATGAACTTTCGAGAGCGCCTCTGCGAGAGACAGGATACAGCGAGCTCGAAGAAAGCGTTGAAGTTTATCTGTGCTCTAGGACAACCTCTATTCCGATAAAGCAACATTGTTTACAATGGTTAAAGGCATCCCAACAAGCAGACTCTATTTGCACACAACTTCGTCAGCTTTGCGAGAAAGAATGGCCCTCTAGGAGAGACTTAGGACTTGAACTAAAACGACTCAACGACCACCGACACTATCTCACTGTCTAGAATGATTTACTCATCTACGCATCGTGAGTTGTCGTCCCCGACTCATGCCGAAAAGAAATCCTGCGACTCTTGCACGAAGGACACTTTGGCATAACAAAGACATCGGCTCGAGCCAGAGACTGTGTCTGGTGGCCCACCATAAGATCTGACGTCTCATCCCTGGTGAAGCGATGTCATCAATGCATCGAAACAAGAGTACTCAGAAAAATGCCACTAATAAGCTTCGAATTCCATGAGAGGCCTTGGCAACGCATTGCGATGGGTTTGTTTCACTTCAAGAACCAGTTGTGGTTGATAGCTACCGACTATTATTCAAGATACCCCGAACTAGTTCGACTTGAGAAGCTCACTTCCGCAGCCATAATCAACCACTGCAAGTCAATTATTCCACACCACGGAGTTCCCAAGAAAGTGGTTTTCGAAAATGGCCCGCAGTTTTCGTCGACTGAGTTTTCACTCTTCGCCCAAGACTATGGTTTCAAGCACATTACATCTAGCCCTGACTGTCCTCAGGGTAATGGACTTGCAGAGGCTGCAGTGAAAATAATCAAGACATCCATGACGGAGACCAAGGACCCTTACCTGACACTTCTAGCTTACAGGTCGACTTCTTTGAAGAATGAATATAGCCCTGACGAACTGCTCATGGGTCGTCGGCTGAGATCCAGGCTTCCTCTGTGTTCAACCAAGCTGACGCACCAATTGCCAGATCAAGACAGCCTTCGGAATTTCGAGGAAAGATACAGACAACGTCAAAGGAAAGACTTCGACAGACGTCACGGAGTCCGGTACTTGTCGGAACTGCTTCATAGAGATGCCGTGTGGGTGACAGACCTCAAGAGCAAAGGGACAGTACAAGCCCCAACCGATGAGCCTCGATCCTATTGGGTAAACATCAACACTGGTGCTGTGTATAGATGCCGGACAGAGCTAGTCCCATATTCCCGAATTAAAAACAACGCAGATAGTTCCAGTACCAGTGATTGTGCTATAGACACTCACTCGCGTTGCCAGGACACTTCCCACGGGCATACCAGAAGTGGCAGCTGCGTGAAGCCACCCGCTTCAGCGACACGCCATTCGTTCCGTTTATTAAAATGGCCAACGTCGCCAAACGCACTCGCGAAATGCGCGGCGGACGACGCGTCATTGATTCCCTAATTCTGAGACACGATCGAGAGCGACCTCTAAATTGCACAGCTGAGCACACAGCATGACAACCCGCCCCATCTCTTGAAACACACCATTCGTACCATTTATTAAAACGGCCAACGTCGCCCTCGCGAACAACGTCGCACACGCACTCACAAAATGCGCGGTAGACGACGCCTTGATGATACCCTAATTCTGAGACACGATCGAGAGTGACCTCTCAATTGTACAGCTTAGCACACAGCAAGACAACGCACCCGCACATCTGCAGAACGCCGTTCGTTCCGTTAATTAAAACAGCCAACGTCGCATACGCACCGGCGAAATGCACGGCGTACGACGCGTAGTTGATTCCATAATTGTAAGACACAATCGAGAGCGACCTCCTAATTGCACAGCTGCGCACACATCAAGAGAACGCGCCTCGACTTCTGCAACAGTCCATTCGTTCCATTACTTAAAAACGGCAAACTTCGCCAACGCACTCGGGAAATGCACGGCGGACGACGCGTCGTTTATGCCCTGATTCTGAGACACGATCCAGAGCGGCCTCTTAATTGCACAGCTGTGTACACAGCAAGACAATGCGCCCTGAGTTCTGCAATGCGCCATTCGTTCCGTAAATAAAACGGCCAACGTCGCCCACGCACTCGCAAACAACGTCTAACACACCCTCGCGAAACGCACGGCGGACGACGAGTCGTTGAATGCCTAATTGTAAGACACGATCGAGGCACCTCTTAATTGCACAGCTGAGCACACAGCAACACAACGCGCCCCGACATCTGCAACACGGCGTTCTTTCCATTTATAAAAGGGCCACTCACAAGGTTTGACAATTTTGAGCTGGAGAGCGCAATGCGTAGACGAGGCGTTCATGATCACGTCTGCCAAAATTTGCAACGCTACACGCCGCGGAAATTAGTCAAATTTTAATATGAAAGCTTCTCCTCCTCCCCTCTGCCCGGCGCACGCGTAGAAAAAGAGGGCATGACGTGGGCGTAGGAATGGCCCTACGTACACGGCAATGCGGTGACGTTGGTCCTCTACGTAGACGACTCTGCTCTGACGTTGTCAACAGTATACCATGTGTCATGGAAAAAATTATTTAACACAACATGCGTAGTTTATGTATTTGTTGCTTTAAGAGATGAATAAAACTTGAAATAAATATTGACACGCAATAAAAATTGTGCGCGTTTTTCTTACAATTTTTCCCGCGAAATGCTACGAGATGCGGGGCTAATGTGCCAGCGTTTCGCATGCGTTCGGGTCCCCGCGGTCAGCGCATTGAGCAGACGACCGCCGTGGAACGCTCCTATGCGTTCGCGCACTCATTATGCTCATCTACTCTACAGCGTCTAAGCCAGCGTTTACAAACAATCCCACGTAAACAGGCAGAAGACTACAAAATAACGCTGGTCAACAAAGCAACGCCGCCCGCGTGCACGGGGACTGGACTTGTTCGGGCACGTCATGCGCACGTCACCTCTTGGTCGGATGCCGGAGAGGGTGGGGAAGAGATTTGGCTTGCGAAGGCTACACGGGGGAGCAGCAAGGGTTTCAAGCTCACCTCCTGTCACCCTCGTTTCGCGCCGCTTCAAAAATCCAGTTTTCTCCGCTCGTAATGAACCGATTCGAAAAATGTTTGTGGCAAAACGTTCCTCATCGGACACCCAACTACTTCCACTGTCTAACTAAAATTCGGCATGGGGCCTGGTGAGGGGCCCTTTAAAACAACCAACGTCACACACGAACTCGCGAAATGCACAGCGGACGACACGTCGTTGATTCCCTCATTCTGAGTCACGATCGAGAGCAACCTCTTAATTGCATACCTGAGCAAGCAGCAAAACAACGTGCACCGACTTTTACAACACGCCGTTCGTTCCGTAAATAAAACGGCTAATGTCGCACACGCAATCGCGAACAGCGTCGCAAACGCACTCGCGAAATGCACGGCGGACGACGCGTCGGTGATTTCCTAATTCTGAGACACGATCAAGAGCGACCTCTTTGTTGCGCCGCGGAGCACACAGCAAGACAACGCGCCCCGACATCTGCCACACGCTGTTCGTTCCGTAATTAAAATGGCTAACGTCACACACGCACTCCCGAATTGCACGGCGGACGACGCGTCATTGATTCCCTAACCCTGAGACACGATCGAGAGCGACCTCTAAATTGCACAGCTGAGCACACAGCAAGACAACGTGCCCCACTTCTGCGACAGCACCATTCGTACCATTTATTAAATGGCAACGTCGCCAAACGCACTCGCAAATGCACTGCGCGGCGACGCGTCATGACTAATCTGAACACGATCGAGAGTACCCTAATTGCACAGCTAGCACACGCAAGACAACGGCCCTCTTCGCAGACCGCCGTTTCCGTTCCGTTTATTAAAAGGCATCGTCGCCACGCATCGCGAAATGCACGCGGACGACGCCATGATTCCTAATCGAGACCGTTCGAGAGCGAACCTCCTAATTGCACAGCTGAGCACACAGCAAGACAAAGTTAGCCATACTTCTGCGAAAGGCTCATCGTTCCGTTATTAAAAGGCCAACGTCGGCCAAACGCACTCGCGAAATGCGCGGCGGACGACGCGTCATTGATTCCCTAATTCTGAGACACGTTCGGAGCAACCGCTTAATTGCACAGCTGAGCACACAGCAAGACAACGTGCCCCTACTTCTGCGACGCGTCATTCGTTCCGTTTATTAAAATGGCCAACGTCGCCAAACGCACTCGCGCAATGCGCGGCGGACGACGCGTCATTGATTCCCTAATTCTGGGAGACGTTCGAGAGCAACCGCTTAATTGCACAGCTGAGCACACAGCAAGACAACATGCCCCTACTTCTGCGACGCGCCATTCGTTCCGTTTATTAAAATGTCCAACATCGCCAAACGCACTCGCGAAAATGCGCGGCGGACGACGCGTCATTGATTCTCTAATTCTGAGACACGTTCGAGAGCGAACTGCTTAATTGCACAGCTGAGCACACAGCAAGACAATGTGCCCTGACATCTGACACACGCCGTTCGTTCCGTAAATAAAACGGCGAACTTAGCACACGCACTCGCGACATGCACGACGAAAGACGCGTCGTTGATTCCCTAATTCGGAAATATGATCGAGAGTGACCTGTCAATTGTAGAGTTGAGAACACAGCAAGAGAACACGCCCATATTTCTGCAATACGCCATTCGTTCCGTAAATAAAACGGCCAACGTCGCTCACGCAACCACGAACAACGTCGCACACGCACTCGAGAAATACATGGAGGGCAACGCGTCGTTGATTCCCTAAACATGAGACGCAATCGAGAGCGACCTCTCAGTTGCACAGCTGAGCACACAGCAAGAGAAATAGCCCCACCGTCTGCAATACGCCGTTCGTTCCGTTTATTAAAAAGCCAACGTCGCACATGCATTCGCGAAGAACGCCGCATACGTACTCGCGACATGCATGGCCGACGACGCGTTATTGATTCTCTAATTCTGAAACACGATCGAGAGCGACCTCTGAATTGCACAGCTGATCATATAGCAAGACAACGTGCCTTGACTTCTGAATCACGCCGTTCATACCGTTGATTAAAACGGCCAAAGTCGCCCACGCACTCGCGAACAACGTCGCACACGCACTCGCGAAAAGCGCGGTAGACGACGCGTCGTTTATGCCCTGATTCTGAGACACGATCGAGAGCGGCCTCTTAATTGCACAGCTGTGTACACAGCAAGACAATGCGCCCTGAGTTCTGCAATGCGCCATTCGTTCCGTAAATAAAACGGCCAACGTCGCCCACGCACTCGCAAACAACGTCTAACACACCCTCGCGAAACGCACGGCGGACGACGAGTCGTTGAATGCCTAATTTTAAGACACGATCGAGGCACCTCTTAATTGCACAGCTGAGCACACAGAAACACAACGCGCCCCGACATCTGCAACACGGCGTTCTTTCCATTTATAAAAGGGCCACTCACAAGGTTTGACAATTTTGAGCTGGAGAGCGCAATGCGTAGACGAGGCGTTCATGATCACGTCTGCCAAAATTTGCAACGCTACACGCCGCGGAAATTAGTCAAATTTTAATATGAAAGCTTCTCCTCCTCCCCTCTGCTGGCGCACGCGTAGAAAAAGAGGGCATGACGTGGGCGTAGGAATGGCCCTACGTACACGGCAATGCGGTGACGTTGGTCCTCTACGTAGACTGACTCTGCTCTGACGTTGTCAACAGTATACCATGTGTCATGGAAAAAATTATTTAACACAACATGCGTAGTTTATGTATTTGTTGCTTTAAGAGATGAATAAAACTTGAAATAAATATTGACACGCAATAAAAATTGTGCGCGTTTTTCTTACAATTTTTCCCGCGAAATGCTACGAGATGCGGGGCTAATGTGCCAGCGTTTCGCATGCGTTCGGGTCCCCGCGGTCAGCGCATTGAGCAGACGACCGCCGTGGAACGCTCCTATGCGTTCGCGCACTCATTATGCTCATCTACTCTACAGCGTCTAAGCCAGCGTTTACAAACAATCCCACGTAAACAGGCAGAAGACTACAAAATAACGCTGGTCAACAAAGCAACGCCGCCCGCGTGCACGGGGCTGGACTTGTTCGGGCACGTCATGCGCACGTCACCTCTTGGTCGGATGCCGGAGAGGGTGGGGAAGAGATTTGGCTTGCGAAGGCTACACGGGGGAGCAGCAAGGGTTTCAAGCTCACCTCCTGTCACCCTCGTTTCGCGCCGCTTCAAAAATCCAGTTTTCTCCGCTCGTAATGAACCGATTCGAAAAATGTTTGTGGCAAAACGTTCCTCATCGGACACCCAACTACTTCCACTGTCTAACTGAAATTCGGCATGGGGCCTGGTGAGGGGCCCTTTAA